GATTCAGTCGGTCCGATGCTAGCCAGGCTAAGCCGGCGATTGCAGCCGAAGCGCATTGGGATGTTATCTGTGCCCGCAGTACTTCTGGAAGTGCAATCTTGTAATGAAGCGCTGAGGAGAGAAGAAACAGCCAGACCTAACGGGCTTTTATCCTCTCATTTCGAGGTGGACGATTCACTCGTGGGTCTTATTACTGTTTTTATGTGCCAAATCTGGTCAGTGGATCGTATTTTTCATCCTGAGTCGAGTTCTTGATCATTCTTGTTTTGAATAAGGAAGCATGCAACGATTATAGGAAGCTTGGGATAAGTTTAACTCGGATAGTTACCGGTTTCAGCCTCTGTAATGCTTCGACACCGGAGGCCCCGGAAGAAATAACTCCGGCCAGGTGGGGATATGCGTGACCCAAATCTTCACTTTGAAGCACGTGCCCGAGTTACGCTGTGCACGTTCTCAAACTACGGTCGCGATGTTCCTTGTTCTAGGGGACGCGTTTGGCTCGCTTGACCGTGAGGCTCCATTTATTTCTGTGCAAGGAATGCCCCAGAGGACACTGCACACGCATAATTCGTATAAATCAGAGATATGCGGCGAGCTAAACAAATCATTCAAGACCAGCAATAGTGTTCGTTAAGAGCGCCTAATCTCCCCACAGACGCGGAGGAGGACGTACCAAGTAGTCTTCAAAATGTTGGTATTGAGTCGGTAGTTAGAGAAGAGCTGTCGAAATCACTCATCTGTTCGAATGTATGGGGAAGGCGCAAGCGCAATTTAGATGCTATTCAGTTCTCTTTCATTCGGCATACGCTTGGCACCTTCACAGTGCAAACTGATACTGCTTTAAAACTATAGGGTCAGGAGTCGACTGTAGTTCATTGTTTTCCTAGTTAGGTAGCTACTTAACTGAAGATGCTAGTCCAGTTAAGGGGGTGACTGCGTGTATGTCCAAGGCCCACGTCCTAACGGCCTGACACTCATACTCTGCATACACTGGGCTTGGTGTCGATCGGCGAAGTTAGATTCACTGAATCAAGTACGATGATGCTGAGGACGCCAGTGGTTTTATCATGATACATTATATTAAGGCTAGATTACTGTCTTCAAAAGTACAGAAAGGCTATCAAAGGAATTTGTCACACTTGATGGTTGGTTGGTAATGAATTTCTTCATAGTCATACTCTTTTGCATGTGTGAAATGCATTCTTATAATCTGAATCTCGTTTCCGAAGCTCATCCTGTGAGAGACAATCGTTGAAATATTGTCCGATTTCGAGTCCTATATTCTTTCAATTAATATTGCTCCCAATATTTTTTTATAGTATATCTGGGTTTTGGTATTTCGTTTAAATCTGGCAGAAATCTACTTTAAGTCCTCTGTTTTTTCAATCACAGGTGCAAATCAGACCTTGGAATTTGGCCGATTCAGATTTTGTGATGGATGGCTCACAACCACTGGATCCGCGTAAAACAATCTTTGTTGGTGGTGTCCCACGACCACTGCGAGCAAGTGAGTAAAGCTTGTCATCACTTCATCCGTAAGATTTTGCACTGCTCGTCATCTCAACTGTCTTCATTTTTCACTCACTTTTTCCCCAATATACAATTGTTGAGACTCCACGGCAAAGCCTGGTACATCATATAAGCACGACGAACCATCATAATCGTCGTACAACGCAATCAGTTTCAGCTTTTGCAACCATTGACTGTGGTGCGCCGGTTTGGGTTGGTATCTCATTTAAATCGATTAAAATGGAATAAAGGGAAGGTTAAATCAGTGTCAGTGAAAAGAGATAGTTGATGAAGGCTAAGGTTGCAGGGAAATTGAGAAGGCACACGAGCTCCGCTGTTGGCGATGCTCAGCTATATCTTACATCGAAATACATTAAAGTGAGCTTCCCGGCTCGCCGCTAAGCTCAAAACGAGAGCCTGATGGACAGTACCACCACCTAGAGTGACCAACGGGCGATGTGTTGGCGTGTAGCAAACCACTGAAAGCGTCGAACTAACAATCCCTCGTGCCACTGTTTGACGAATATACTCAAAATAAGAGCTTGTGTGTTGTCACGCATTTTCTACTGGTGCCATGTTGCGGAATTCGTTTTTAAAATCACTGGGGAAATTGTATTATTTCTTTCTAAAGTTAATGATCCTATTTCAGTGAGTTTAGATGCGATTTACCAAAGAAATTCGATAATAATATGAACTGGGGCATTTGATATTATTTTGCTTTTTGAAATTGGTTTCATACTACAAGCGGTGATGCGACTAACAACGAACCAATGCAATCAAGTTATCGGGGAACTTCATCAGTTAAGATTCAAATGTGTCCTTTTTCCGCCACATTTCTGCGGAACAGGTGACTATGCCCTTATTTTCAATGTATTTGGTCTTTTTACTGGAAACTAGTTAAACAGGTTTGCCCTTAACTTCTTTCACCACTTTTTGAAGTTTGTTTGATACCAACCAACAAAGTTCGAACCTATTTTGCACGTTATATATATGCTCTTTTCGGTTCAGTGGCGTTTGATGGCGTTAGGCGAGCTGGTCAAAACCACGACTTATAAGAGTTTAATTAGCAGAATTGGCTTTATCATATTTTCATGCAACCAGTTCCTTTTAACATTTTCATGAGAGCAAGAAGGTGCATAATGCTTCTTCTTGCTCTCATGAAAATTATCAAATTTCATTTTTTAGATTTATATAGTTCCGTCAGAACACCCAGAACACCATAGATACTGTAACCTTAATGGGTATATTTGGAAATACTATTGAATACTAGCGTTCTGTTCAGCTGTATTGCCATGCAATAGCGGTTATGCTGTTCTAAACCACTGACTTGTTCACGGTTCGATCGATCGATAGCATGCCTGACTGTAAGCGACATTTCGTGTGCATGCGTGTGTGTGTGTGTAATTTGGTTCGACTGGCATACCATTCTTGGCCCATCGATGCGCTGTTTACTTGTGTTTGTGTGTTTGTATGTTTTACTCGTGTGTCCACGACGTGAGTGCAATGTGCGCCCCGCCTGTTAGGCAGTCAGTCGCAATAACGTGTGCGCACTGCGTTCTCTACTTCGCCTTGCCTCTCCCTCCACCGTGTAAATCAACCCACTTGCCCATCGCGTATCTTACGCCTAGACAGCCCGTTCATTCATACGCTCCTCCCAATTCTAGCGACAGGTTGGGACTTCCCTGTCGGCAGATGAACCCATATCCTTGTTTCGAGAAAATCGGTATTGCCTTGCCGTTAGTTTTCATTTGCTACTACCTGTCCAAAAGCTGATTCTCAACAAAAGCCGATCGGTTGCACCTGTGCTGTTTATCTATGCAAGAACTAATTTACTCAATCTTCCATTCCAAATAAATGAAGAATCTGAACGTTTCTGGGATTGTATGTGTTGGTGCTAAATCGGTATACATGGAGGTTCTGCAATTTGATTCCACTCACTTAGAAAATAGCAATGGGGTTATCAAAATTACAGTCCGAGTCCAAAAGAACGTTAATCTACGACAGTACAGTGTTAACGCATCTCACCGTTGGGATCCTGATTTGAATATTGACACTAATCAGTGGCCTAGTTCTCGAGTGCGGAGCAACGCGTATTGCAGTGGTTGTATGGTTAGAAATGTCGAGTGTACTGTTTATTTCGAGTTATTCGATGTCCGAGAATGTTAACCACCTGTTGATCAATTATCTACAAATTCCTATCAAACCCAATAATTTATTCATCATGTTGCCATATTTGCTCTTCTCTTGCACAAGTGTCCACAAAGTGACGCTGCGTGCTATTTTGATTTTGGCACCGAGGGCATTGTTCAGAGGAATATTTTGCTCATCATTTATGAAATAGGCGTTTCAGTTCTGTCTTTGACGGCTTTCAAATTCCTCTCGGTTTTCGAAAAGATGTGCTCACGCGCTTAAGGTTGCCCTTTTTATCTCACAATGCGGTTTACAGCAACAGTAGTTTAGGTTTCTGATATATTTTCGGTCGTTTGTTGATCGCCACTGTGGATTCCCTGATCCCACTGTCTAACGTCAGGTGTGAAATTTCTTTATCAAGCAGAGATGCATTTAGGAATGTAAATATTTTCTCTTGAATTATCACACATAACTTGACTAGTTCCAGCCTCTTGTGTTATGTTCGCTGTGTTTTTATCTTTGGGCTTAGTAACGCCATTGTCTTCAGTTTTCCAGTGGTCATATTGCAACTTTTTCCTTGCCGTAGCAGTTTTTCTATATCGAAGCAGTCAGTATGCTCCAATATGTTTGCAGGGGATTGTGGTGAGTGAGAAACGTGTCTTGACCACGTTTCTTCTCCTGATACACCAGAATAATGTTCGAATAACTAACACAAATTGCTAAATAATATTAGGTTTGTTTCCAGTGAACGATTGGCGAACGCTGTCTATGTTTCTTCGTCCTGAAATGAACCTCCCGCTTCGACCGTGGAATGGCCACAGAGCGTCTCGCCCTCCATCTCCCATACACTCACAACCATGGGGATAAACCCTCTTGCACACCACGGTGTGTATGAATCTGCTTTCACGACCGCACACGCTGGGTATGACCTTATGTTGACCTCACTGTTGGACGACCTCGAGGGCTTGTTTTGTTTGTTTGTTCGGATGCGAGTGTGTACGCACGTAGGCCTGGTCAGTGCGAATACAGACAGGCGCATTACTCATTCCCTGGTTAGTTGACATCACGTCAATAATACCCGTTGTTCAGATGCCTTGCTTTTCATGTCGTTGCCCCAGTTTGTCCTGCACGCCCCGTGAACACGGTTTGGTTGGAAACGGAGAGGAATGCAGGCAGGTACCGAGGTTAGCGAACCAGTGCTCCTATTCGGACATTAAGGCGTTCCCGCTAAATTCATCAGTTCATCATGGTGGTTTAAGGACACCGATCGTTTTCTTTTTCATTCAGAGCCCAATGAGCTGTGCAACACCCAACGCAGTCTTTATTATTAAAGCAAGAGGCCAACGTATGTGCTGAAATAGGTGGTACTGTCGTAATATTGCTGCTGTGATTTTTCTGTATGTACGGCAGTGTGTTAGGCCACTGTGTATTGATCCACAATTAGCAAACAAATGAAGTGTCAGGGTCTATTGAAAAACTAGAACCGGGTTTCGCTGACCCCAGTCGCCTATAGTGCTTTTGTGACACTTCTGTCGTTGAAAAAAGCACGAGTTGAGAGAATTTTGCCGGTTGCAATGCATTACACGAAGGTGGTCATTATATGCAGTTGTATTCAGTTTGCCAAATGTTGATCACAGTAACATTTAATTTATCTCGTGTCGATCGATCCGCATTGTATAGGTCTGTGTAACTTTAATGCTAAATTGCGGGGAAAACAAGATGCATTTAGGTCACGTGTCTTCCAATGATATATATATATATATATATATATATATGTATTGATGACTACGAGTAAAGTGTATTTATTTCTGATTTTATCTCCCACATTTATGTTTCTAGTTCTCTTCTATCACCGTTTGAATTGTCGCAACCTGGAGTATTGCGATAAATTCGTAGTAGTTCGAAAGTTGCGGCTCAGATTTCGAAATTATTTTAAGTAAAGCAGCATGGGAATTCATTCTTTTTATTAAATGATTCATATTCCGTGATAGTGTTTATTAAGTCGAGCACATGTATTCTAAATTGCTCATCACTTTTCATCTAGGGTACAGTTAATAAGCAGATTAATGAACATATTCTAGCTTGAATAAACTGATAAATTATTTGGCTAAAAACTGTTCCCGCATTGTCCACATTGCTGAAAGAACTGAAAACAAAGTCCAAGAAGCA